TAATGATGTCTCTTATCTTGCTCTCTCACAGCCATTGTCTGGTTTGCTGTTCATTGCCTCCCTCTGTGTGAAATAGATCTGTGCAGCTCTCCCCATTTGAGGACTGGGAACACTGAGCCTCAGCAAAAGGGCAGGCTTGCCCTAGGTCACACGGTCAGTGGACAACACAGAACAGGTGCTTTCTGACCAAGTGACAGACACTGCTTGACCCTGTGAGCAGCTGGGTCCCGCTCACCTCCCCTCAGTCCTGAGGATCCAACTAGCCACTTCCACCTGGCTCCAGAACTTTTCCACCTTTTATTTCCAGACCTACTACTTCTGCTCTCATATCTTCTCAAGATTGTCTTGATAGGAGGGGGCTTCAAAGAGTTCATGGGAATGTTCCAATATCTTTTCATTCCATTTCAATGAAGTTTTTGAAATCCTCTCGCATTTGGGAATCTCCAAATGGCCTTTGCAGTAGTAAACCACATTCTCATCCACTCTTTCTCCAGCCTGGGGGGCCCTGTGATATGAGGAGAAGCCTAATGAATGGTGAGCCCACTTAAGATCCACAGGGTCCCCAGTGTCCAGTGACCAGAGACTAGCCCCGCTTAAGGGAAGAGAAGCCTCCTTTGGGCTGAGCTGGGGCTGAAGATAGAGCCCAGGCCCTCGAGAGTCTGCTATAGTGGGTAGAGTGTGCCTTTTAGACAGATAAACCAAGAATTGACTTTCATTCATGCCATGACCCTTGGTGTGGCTGGCATACATGCCTAACCTTATTACCTGGGTTGTTCTTTCTGGGTTTGAATTAGAATGCTTGCGATTTTCATTCTCAATCCATCAGTCAAAAAGGTAGGGGTGCAATACATATTTGAGGAATGGATGAATGGGTATCTGCCACCTTGTCCCTTCCCAGAGGGACTGTGAAGGATATGAATGTGGAAATAAATAGAGTCTGCCACTCTAGGAACATATGTTCCAGTTGGAGAGACCAAACAGGGCAATCTTAGTAAGTCTCTGTGCAATTAAGTGTTAAATTGCCTGGTTCAGACTATATATATGTGTAGCTGGAATACAGAGATGGGAAAAATCAATGTGGGGAGAGGGTGGTCAGAAAGGGCTTCATGGGGAGAAATTGAAAATAGGTCTTTGGGAGGCATGCGAGGGAGGAGGACCAATATGTATGATCATACGGCATTGCAATGAAGTCTTTTTCAACTAAAAGATGGTATTTGGAAGATTTTTGTGGGAAGAAGATGCTGATTGTGGCTTTGCTCATAATCTTTCTGACGCCTTGCCTCACATCCTGCCAGATCTCAGTTCTGGTTCTACACTGCTTGTCTGTAGCCTTCTTCAGTTGAGTGACCTGACTCTGTATCTCCTTTCTCTTTTAGGAGTTGGGCAGTTGGCCAAAGTGAACAATGAAGGCTCTGAAGGTGTTCAGGGATTTTTGCTTTGTTTTCTTGTGCCTCCCAATGCCTGTTAGAGTCTCATATCTGTTACTGTCTCTCAGACCACCTCTGAGGTCTCGGAATTGGACAGAGTCTACACCCCCTCCCATCTACCCTTTCATTTGTTGTTCTTAAGTGCCATCGAGTCAGTTCCAACTCATAGCAACCCTGTGTAGGCTTTCCAGGGAGCAACGGGTGATCTTGAATCACCGACCTTGTGGTTCAAACTGACCCTGCAGTCCAGCACATTAACCCACAACATCACACCAGGACTTCTCAATTCCCAAATGACTAATCCTTGGTCCTTCTGCTCTCTCATTTGCTTATACAAAGCTGGAGAGTAGGCAAGATGCTGGGTTTTACCACACATGTTATTGTTGTTGTTAAGTGCCGTCGTACACATGACCATGTTTTATTCTGTAGGAGGGAAAGACTTGGTTGGAAATGCTGCTTTTCTCTATTTTGGGGCTTGGAGATGAGGACATAGAAGGTGAATATATGAACTGAAAGGAAAAGCAGGCAAACAAACAGAAAACTAACCCATTGCCATGAAATCAACTCATAAAAACCTTATAGGACAAAACAGAGTTTCTAAGGCTCTAATCTGTACAGACTACTGTATCTTTCTCCTATGGAGTAGCTGAAGGGAGTGTGGGCACAATTGCAGTTTTCCTCTTTGCTATGGAAGGCAAATGAATTTTACACAGGTACAGAATGCTGACTTTGGAGGACCTTTGACGCTCTCTACACCCACCTCTTGCCTAGGAGTGGTGGGGCCTGGCAGCAGGAGCATCCAGCTTGTTGTTAGAAGTCCTGAGTTTGAGCCTTGGCCACATTACTAAGTAGCTCTGTGATTTGGGGAAAGTCGTTAGTCCTCTAAGTCTCAACTTTCTCATCAGTAAAATGGGAGAATAATAACAGAGTTTTTGTAAGGATTAAGTGATAAAAGATGGATGTGAAATGACCTTTTAAACTGTAAACATAAAGTACTTTTTATTAATTTGATAAATAAGAACATCAGATCCTAGAATATTAAGGGACTCACCCAAGGTCACCTAGCGAGTCAGAGGCAGAGTTGAATTTAGAACTCATGCCTCCTGTCTCTTGATTTGGTGTTTGTCGTCTTAACATTCTTGCTCCTCACTACGTTTTCAGACTGAAGGAGCCTGGAACACACCAGGTCTCTTTGCAGTTGAATCCCTCCGGAGGGTTTCCTCCATTTGTAGACTGCCATTCCCTGGGACCATAAGCCTTTAGGTAAACCTGAATTTTTCTGGTGGTGAGGGGACAAGGTGAGGTCAGGTGGGGCACACTCTAGAGTCTTCTCTGTTGACCCCTTGTGCCTGCTTTGTGGGCATTTCTCTGTCAACAGGCACTGGGTTCCTTTCCAAGGAAAGTTTCTGTTCTCTTTCCTTTCTCAGTCTCTTTCCATCTCTGCTGTAGCTCCCTCTGGTGAAATGACTTCTTTTAGATGACCTTTTGCTTTGGTTCTGTGAAAAGGGGAGAAAAAGAAAACAGTTTGGAAGTGTTTTCCCCTGCGTCCCTAGCAGTTATTGCATTTTTCTTTTGTTGCAGTTGCCCTAATCCTTTGGAGAAACATGTTACTTTTGTCCAGGGAAGGAGCCAGTCCCTGCTGGCAGAATATATCATTTATGCAAATAAATGGAACCACTTGTCAAAGGATTGGCCAGTTTAGTCCAGTGATGAGATTGGTCAGTCTGCTATGAAAATATTGTTGTTGTCGTCAAATATTGTTGAGTTGATTTCAACTCATAGCGACCCTGTGTAGGGTTTCTGAGGAGTTGTTGTTGTGAAGTGCTGTGGAGTCGGTTCCAACCCATAGTGACCCTGTGTAGGGTTTCCAAGGAGCAGCTGGTGAGCTTGAACAACCAGCCTTACAGTTCAAATGGCTTTGCAGTCTGGTGCATTAATCCACAATGCCACACCAGGAATAGGGCACATTAAATCTGCTCCATAGGATTGAGCCATTTGTCTATAAAAGCAGAAGCCATCCTACAGAGCTTGAAGGAGGCCTCACTAAAATAAAGAAGAAAGGTCTGTAATGGAGCACATCTTTTGGATCCAGGGTCTCTGTGCTGAAAACCTCTTAGACCCAGAAGACAGCATGAGACAGTAAGAAATATAGTAGCAACCACATTAAACTCATCTATCTATCTATTGTTTTCTCAAATGAGGCAGTTCCAGTGGAGAACTAGAGAGAGCTTGACTTTGTGGTTAGATGTAGGCTTCTCTACAATGGGTGTTGCATTCAGGGATCTTGTGTCTGTACTCTCAGTGCATCTTTATGGTGTGGGAAGAGCACAGGTAAGAGAGTTAGAGGACCTGGCTTCTGGTCCTTCTCTATAGGGTTACCATAGAGTTTTCATGGAACATATATTTATTGAGGTGCTACATATTGAGTTCTCACTAAGCACATATTTATTCCCAATGACAATCATTGGGAAACTATTTAGTAAGACGTTAGTATTTGCTTCTTGAAGTTGCTGTGAGATACAGATGCCAAGATACTTGAGGAACACTTAGCAAATGGCCCTAACCTGTGCAAGGTATCGTCAAGTCGGTACTGACTTATATAGACCCTGTATAGGGTTTCCGAGGAGCAGCTGGTGAGCTTGAACTGCTGACCTTGCAGTTGAAAGTGACCTTGCAGTCCAGCGCATTAACCCACAGTGCCATACTGGGACTCCATAAAAGGTGATAGTTACTGTTATTTGACTTGATTGGGTTACCCCAGCCCAGGCTGATGGTAACCATTTGTGTGATTGCTGTTTATAGTAAACTTGGGTGCCCTGTGATGCATGTAGTTCTTCATGTCCAGGCCCTATCCAAGACAGACACTGTCTACCTTCAAGCAGCTCATTGATAGGCGGGGAGCACAGAGCTGTGAATAGCTTTTATGAGGCAGTGTTGTAGCTTTCAATATAGAGGAATGGGGTATAGAGAGGTATGGGTTCTCATGATGAATATATTAATTCTGTCTAGGTGAGATTAGGGAAGGTGACAGGTGATGGAAATGTCCCCATGACCAAAAGGACATCTCATACTAAGGGGACACTTTTACCTTCCTGTAGCTAGCTCCTTTGACCCTAAGATGGATCCTATGAGGCATTATTGGACCCCTTTTACTGATGAGAAGAGTGATGTGTTGAAGGACTTGGGCAAGATCATGCCAGAAGTGTGAGCAAACAGAAGGTGGAGCCCACTCCCCTATTTTGTTTCCATCCATTCTCTACCCACCCTGGGCTCTTTTGATATTCCTTTGAATAAAATATACATTTTGAATGAGGTGTTTACATGCCTTTAGTGAGTGGACAGTTCTTAAGCATCTGGGAAGTTCCTATCCTCAAAGAACTCAATGTTTGATAGGGAGGGAGCAAACTGCTTGTCCCCCCAAGACTTGGTTACTCCCACTCTCCCTTCCTGGCATCCTCTTGTGGTTGGAGATTGTAGAAAGGAGGCACTATGGCCCTGGCTGGGTGGAGAAGGACGGGAAAGCTGCCAGACTCAACTTCTGTTTTCTCCTTTGGGTCTTCTCCCTGACATCAGGTCCCGGCTGGCAGACTTCCACACCAATTGTCGTGCCTCCTACCAGACACTCACTAGCTGCCCTGCGGACAATTACCAGGCATGTCTGGGCTCCTACGCTGGCATGATTGGTAAGCATCTCCCCTGAGTGACTCCTTGTTGTCCATGTCTCAGTGGAGCAGAGCTGAAGCCCAGCTTGAGTCAGCAGATAGAGGCAGCGTAAGTTTGCCCTCAGATAGAACTCCAATGGGAAACTGGAGAATAGGCTGACTCTTTATCAAGGTGGAGGGTCCCAGCTTTTTATAATAGGGGAAGAAGGGCCCTGAGGACTTAAATGGCTTTTGAAACAATAACAAAAGGTAACATTTACTGTATGGTTATGACATTCCAGGTTTTTGGTTCAGCAGTTTACATAGGCTTAATCTATGCGAACATATTTAATTTAATTCTTAGAACAGTTCTGATTGATATATCCATTTTACAGATGAGGAAACAGACTTCGAGAAGTTAAATAACTTGCCCAGGCTTACATAGTTATTAAATGCTGTCACTGAAACCCAAACCAGGTTGTGAGCCTGTGTCTCCCAGATTCTCAAACACACTCTTCATTAGAAAAGGAGAAAGCAAGGGTCCACATTCAGCAAGAGAGCTCCTGAGTATCTCTGCCTTCATGGTGCTGAAAAGCCAAACATCCTATCTGCCTCTGACTCCTCCATCCCCTGCTGCCCTTTATGGCCACCGGGATAGTAACACTGAGTTAGGACTGTAAGATGGGATGTATGTGTGTTTGAGGGCAGGAAGACTCCAGGGGGGTGATACCAAGTGTTTGCTTGCTTTTTTGTACCTGGGATCTGGAAGCCCAAAGGGGAAATCTGACTGTTCCTCTCTCCTTTCTCCCTGTCCAGGATTTGATATGACACCCAACTATGTGGACTCCAGTCCCACTGGCATTGTGGTGTCTCCTTGGTGTAGCTGTCATGGGAGTGGCAACATGGAGGAAGAATGTGAGAAGTTCCTCAAGGACTTCACTGAAAACCCATGTCTCCGTAAGTCCTGGAATGTTCTCCTACTTCCCAGGAGCCACTTGTGACCCTGAGAGTCAGGTCTTAGTCATTCCCTTATACCTTCATTGGAATGGCCAGTGATATGCATGATATATATATATATATTGTGGGTGTTAAGTGCCGTCGAATTGGTTCCGATCCATAGCAACCCTATATAAATCTTTCCCGGAGCAGAAAGCCTCATCTTTCTCCCGCGGAGCTGCTGGTAGTATGGAACTGCTGACCTTACGGTTCACAGCCCAATTCGTAACCATGCTACCAGAGCTCTCTCTCTATATATGGGGGCTTCAAAAAGTTCGTGGCAAATTTCCATTATCTTTCAATTCTATTTTCCTATGAGATTTTGAATATATATATATATATATATCTCCACCACTTGTCTGTCAGTTTGTTGTACTGTGGTGACTTGTGAGTTGCTGTGATTCTGGAAGCTATGCCACTGGTATTTTAAATACCAGCAGGGTCACCCATGGTGGACAGGTATCAGCTGAGCTTCCAGACAAAGACAGATTAGGAAGAAGGAGAGGTGGACTACTTTAGAATCTTTACCCACTGAAAACCTTATGAATAGCAGTAAAACATTGTCAGATAGTATAAGAATATTGAATATTGAAACATGAGGAAAAGCACCAGAATACTGTCAGATGTAGTAGCACTGGAAGATGAGCTCCTCAAGTTGGAAGGCACTCAAAATATACCTGGAGAAGAGCTGCCTCCTCAAAGTAGAGTTGACCATGATAACACAAATGGAGAAAAGCCCTCGAGACCTTCATTTGCTGATCAGGAACAATTCAAAATGAGGAGAAGCAGCTGTAAATATCCATTAATAATTGGAACATGGAATGTACTAAGTAAGAATCTAGGAAAATTCGAAGTTGTCAAAATGAATGAAACATAAAAATTGATATCCTAGGCATTAGTGAGCTGGAATGGACCAGTCAGTATTGGCCATTTAGATTCTTTACTATGCCAGGAATGGCAAATTGAAGAGAAATGACATCACATTCATCATCAAAAAAGACCATTTCAAGATCTATTTTGAAGTATAATGCTGTCTATGATAGGATAATATCCATACACTTACAAGGATAATATCCATACACTATTACTGAATTTATGCACCAACCATTAAAGCCAGTGATGATGAACTTGAAGAATTCTACCAACTTGTTTAGTCTGAAATTGATAAAAAATGCAATCAATCAAGATGTATTGATAATTACTGGTGATTGGAGTGTAAAGGTTGGAACAAAGAGGAAGAATTAGTAGTTCAAATATATGGCCTTGGTGATAGAAATGATGCTGGAGATTGCATGATAGAATTTTGCAATGATTTCTTCATTGCAAATATCTTTTGTGAAACAACATGAAAGATGACTATATACTTGGACTTCACCAGATGGAATACCCAGAAATCAAATTGGCTACATCTATGGAAAGAGATGGTGGAAAAGCTCCATATCATCAGCCCAAACAAGGCCAGGAACAGATTGTGGAACAAACTATCAATTGCTCATATGCAAATTCAGGCTGAGGTTAAAGAAAATTAAAACAAGAGCCAAAATATGACCTTGAATTTAGAGATCATCTCAAGAACAGATTTGATGTATTAGACACTAATGACCGAAGATTAGAAGAATTGTGGGATGACATCAAGAACATCATGCAGGAAGAAAGCAAAAGGTCATTAAGAAAACAAGAAAGAAGGAAAAGACTAAAGTAGATATCAGATAAGACTCTGAAACTTGCTTTCTAGTATAGAGATACTAAAACAAATGGAAGAAATGAGGAAGTAAAAGAGCTGAACAGAAAATGTCAAAGGGCAACTCGAGAAGACAAAGTCAGGTATTATAATAAGATGTGCAAAGACCTGGAGTTAGAAAACAAAAAGGGAAGAACACACTCAGCATTTCTCAAGCTGAAAGAACTGAAGAAAAATTTCAAGCCTCTATTTGCAATATTGAAGGATTCTATGGATAAAATATTGAATAATGCAGAAAGCGCCAAAAGAAGATGGAATGAATATACAGAATAACTGTATCAAAAAGAAATGGTTGATGTTCAACCATTTCAATAGATAGCATATGACAATGAGCCAGTGGCACTGGAATTGATGGAATACAAATTGAAATCTTTTAACAAACTGATTCAGCACTGGAGGCACTCATTCATCTATGCCAAGAAATTTGGAAAGCAGTTATCTGGCCAACTTATTGCAAGAGATCCATGTTTGTGCCAATTCCAAAGAGACATGACCCAAAAGATTGTGGAAATCATTGAACGATATCATTAAAATCACACGCAAGTAAAATTTTGCTTAAGATAACTCAAAAATGGCTGCCACAGTACAGTGACAGGGAACTGCCAGTAGTTCAAGCCAGATGCAGATGAGGACGTGGAATGAATGATACCATTGCTGATGTCAGAGGGATGTTGGCTGAAAGTAGAGAATACCAGAAAGATGTTTACCTGTGTTTTATTGATTATGCAAAGGCTTTTGATTGTGTGGATCATGACAAGCTGTGGACAACACTGCAATAGAATGAGTACTCTGGACCACTTAATTGTGCTCATGAGGAACCTGTACATAGACCAAGAGGCAGTTATTAAAAAAAAACCAAGGCGACACTGAATGGTTTAAACTCAGAAAAGGTGTGTGCCTGAATTTTATTCTTTGACCATACATATTTAATCTGTATGTTGAACAAATAATCCATGAAGCTGAATTATACGAAGAAGAACGTGGCATGAGGATTGGAGGAAGACTCATTAACCACCTGCAATATGTAGATGATACAATCAATCTTGGTTGCTAAAAACAAAGGGAGCTTAAAATACTTAATGATGAAGATCAAAGATCACAACCTTCAGTATGGGTTGCACCTCAATGTAAATATAGTCATAATCGTCACTACTGGAACAATAAATAACTTCATGATAAATGGAGAAAAGATTGAAGTTGCCAAAGACTTCATTTTGTTTGGATCCACTATCAACACTCATGGAAACAGCAGTCACGCAATCAAACTACTTATTTCATTTGACAAATCAGCTGCAGAAGACCTCTTTAAAGTATTCATGAGCAGAGATGTCATTTGAAGACTAAAGGGTGCCTGACTCAAGCCATGGTATTTTCCATAGCCTCATATGCATGTGAAAATTGGACAGTGAATCAGAGGGACTGTGGAAGAACTGGTACATTTGAGTTATTGTGTTGAAGAAGAATATGAAAAGTAACATGGACTGCTAGAAAAATAAATCCATGTTTGAAGAAGAAAAGCCAGAATGTTCTTTAGAATCTAGGATGGCGAGACCTTGTCTCTTATACTTCAGACATAATATCAGGAGGGACCAATCCCTGGAGAAGAATAGCATGTTTAGCAAGTGGAGGGTCAACAAAAAAGAAGAAGACCCCTAATGATATGGATTAACATAATGACAGCAGCAGTGGGTTGAAGTTTATCAATTGTGAGGATGATGAAGGACTGTTGTGCATAAGGTTGCTATGAGTTAGAATAGATGTGATGGCACCTAACAACAACATCCTGGTGTGGTGCTGTAGAATCAGCATTGGACTGTGAACTATAAGACCAGCAGTTCAGATCCACCAATTGTTCCTTGGAAACCCTGTACAGGGTCGCCATGAGTCAGAACTGACTTGACTGCACTTAACAACAAGCAACAGCAATGTAATTGTATGTTGCCTACCCGGACCTTACTTTTTGTGCTCTTGTCTCATTGTACCAACCCCAGTTTACCACTTACATCAAATCTTCTGCCTCTGGTTAAAGAGTTTAGTCTGTTATCCTGAGAACTTCAGGCCTCTCATGAGAACTTCAGGATCTTTCACTTCTCCTTTTAAGGAGTTTCTTTTTCTTGGAGTTGGTGATGTTCTTTTTCAAGTCACCATATCCCTAATTCAAAGTCTAGAGAGAAAGAGGTTAGTCACAGTCACACTGTGTCTGCCTTAATCTTTCCTTTCTGATACACTGCTACCCTTGAAGACTCCATCCCTCTTTCTTTTCTTCCTTTCTTCCTCTTTCGCATCTGTTAACCCTTCATTTCTTTATGACACGCAGGATTTGGAGATGCAGGTTATAGTCCCTGTAAAGCTGATGGAGGTAAACATCAGGAAATCTTCCAGCAATCACAGTATAGGACAAGGCATACAAGACCAGAAGTCTGGGCCGATTGCCTCAGAAACTCACGATAGGGATTACCAAGTCAAGCCTGAAGGAGGGACATTCTGCCCTGGCATGTGCATGTCTCAGAGGAGTAGCCAGTGACCGGTAGTTGGGTATTGATTAGGAAGGGCATTCCAGCCTACCATGGGCAGAAGACAGAGCTTCATAGAAAACTCTGGTGAGTTGAAGAAACCACAAACAATTTAGCATTGTTATAACATTAAAGAAGGTTAGAGTGAGAGTGCTCCTTGGCCAGATAGAGCCCTCATGACGTACCTTGTAGACCAAGAGTTTAGATTTGATTGTTTTGCAGGTGGTAGTGGAGGGGTGCAGGGTTCATTGAAGGGCTTTATACAGATAGTGTTGGAGTTAGATCTATATTTTTCTTATTTCTTATTGTAGTATGGAGGGAATAGAGTATGGGGATATATGACAAATGACGTAACAGAGAGTCCAGCCAGAGGCTGTTGTGGTTGTTTTGGGGAGAGAAAGGAAGGAGAAAAAAGATGGGGTAGACAAATCTTTAGGAGGTAGGATTCATTGACTGTAAGTAGGTAGTTAGGGAGGTATCATGTGTGATCACCAGGTTCCTGACTTGGGAGACACCTTCAATACTGGGAATACAGGAGAGAAAGCACTGTTGGAAATAGTCAAGAGAGACGACGAGTTGAACCTTAGACATCATGAGTTTGAAGTGTGAATGGGGCATTGAGTTCTGGTGTGGCACTGTAGGATAAGCACTGTACAGCTAATTACAAGGTCGTTGGCTCAAACCCACAAGCCACTCTTTGGAAACCCTACAAAGGGTCATTATGAGTCAGAACTGACTCGACAGCACTTAACAACAACATAGAATATGGAAGTAGAGATTTCTGTAGGCACTTTGTCGTAAGGTTGAGTCTTGAGGACAGTTTTGCCATGAGGATAGATTAGTTAGTCCTCAGAATTAGTGCTAATTGAGAGCAGCGAAGTATGGGAGTGGGTGAAAGCACCCAAGGAAAGTGAATGGTGTGAAGAAGGGGAGGGTTGAATTTAGGGCCATTGGAATGGAAGCCTGCAGCAAGATACATCTGAGGTGGCAAGGATGCCATGAGTGTCTGTATCTGAGAGCTGGAGTGGAGAAGGTCCTGAAGGAAGTTGCGGTCTGCAGTGCTAGATGCCACTGAGACAGTAGCTTTCACCATCCTGGTATGACATGCTCTTCCCTCTAGGCTCCCCATCCCTCACATCTTCCTCCTTTTCTTTCTTACATTCCTTACTACATGCATATCTTTCTCTTCTGGCTTTTCTGCCTTTTTCAACCTTCCTTTTCTATTTTTTTCTCTAGATATGAGACCTTTGCAGGTTCCTGAAAGATAGCTTTAGCAAAGTTAAATGTGGATATCCACATGTATCCCATTTCTAAATTATTACAGGGAAAGTCATCATTGGGTGAGGAGCAGAGAGAGACATGGTCAAGATGGCCTGTGATTTTTCTGTATGTTTGTTTCCCCCAACCCACAAACAGGGAATGCCATCCAAGCCTTTGGCAATGGCACAGATGTGAACCTGTCCCCTAAGAACCCCTCATTCCAGGCCACCCAGGCCCCTCGGGTGGAGAAGATCCCATCTCTGCCAGATGACCTCAGTGATAGCACTGGCCTGGGGACCAGCGTCATCACCACCTGCACTTCCGTCCAGGTGAGGAAGCTTGGATCTGAGCAAGGGAAAGGGAACAGGGCAGGCGCAGACCCTAGAGGAGCACAGTGACAGCGGGGGGGTGGGGGTGGGAGGTTACTGTTAACCTGGAGGCTAGGGAGTGAGCAGGGACCCAAGAGGCATGGAGGAAGTGGTGGGGGTCTTTTTCATGTGTTTATTAATTTGGGCCTGCATCTTGCAAGTATTAAAGACCTACCTATCAAAGCATTGTGCTGGATACCACAGGGTACAAAAGAAATGTAATGGTTACCATATATTAACCACCTGCTAGTCACCAAGTCCTGGTGTGGCACTGTAGGATAAACACTGGACTGCAAGTTCATTTTAAACCACAAGCGGCGGTTCAAACTCACCAGCCGCTCTTCGGAAACCTTATACAGGGTTGCTGTGAATCGGCCAGTACTACACAGTCACCAAGTAGTGTGCTAGCAGACTCACGGCCTATCTCATTTAATCCTCACATTAGTGAGCTAATTAGTATTGTTTCACACAAAGTAGACTGTCCCAGAGAGGTTAGGTGAATACCCAAGGTCACACAGCTGGTTAGTGATGGATTCAGATTTCAAAACTACACACAGCTCCAAAGTTCATGGTGTTCTTTTGTTTGTCCTTCCTTTCTTCTATCCTCCCATCCATCCATCCATTCACCAACCCATCCAATATGTATTGCATTCCCTGTCGGCTCCTGGTATCATTGTAGATGCTAGGGATACCTTGGTGAATGAAATAGACGCAGTCCTGGGCTTTGTGGTCCTTATGGCCTTGTGGAGGGCCAACAACTCAACAGGTGTCAGATGTGGACCGTGGCCAGTATTCTGATAGAGGAGACATGTGACCTTGTGGAGACACATCACAGGGTGCCCCACTCAGCCTGTGTCTTTGCTGAGCAGCTCTGCCTTGCAGCACACCATTTGTGACAATAAGTTTTATGCTTAAGAGATTGGTTCTAGATAGACCACACACACACACACAGATGTACACATACACATGATCATACCCACGAATACAAAGAATTTAAAAGAGAACCTCATACAGAATATCAGGGAGAGCAGGGGATGAAGGAAGCAGTGAGGTGTTGGGAGGTAGGGGATACAGGAGCTGTGACTTGAATCGCCCAGGAAAGATCAGGGTGTGGTGTGAAGGACAGTCACTAGGGGTACAGCTTATACATAGGTGCAGGGGAGAGAACAAGTCCTGGATATGTGTGAGACAATGAAGGCACCAGTCTGAATAGGGTGGCAGGTTCTTGGGCATCAACAGTTGTTGTTGTTGTTGTTATATGCCATGGAGTTGGTTCCGACTCATAGCGACCCTGTACAGGGTTTCTGAGGCTATAAATCTTTATAGGAGCAGAAAGCCTCATCTTTCTCCCACAGAACAATGGGTAGTTTCGAACTGCTGACCTTGTGGTTTACAGCTTGATTCGTAACCACTACGCTACCAGAGCTCCTTGGGCATCAACAGTATGCATTCATAATGCCAGGATGAAGGCTTCAACTGGGCCTTGCAGAGACATTCAGGGTCCTCCCTTGCGCTACAGGCTCGTGTGCTTGAGCCAGCCCTGGTCAAGGAAGCCCTCTTCACATTTTCCCTTCCTCTCCCTTGTGGGATCCCCCGCTCTGTACCAGCTGACCTCCAAGTGCCTTCATGTAAGGCTCAGCTTACATACAGCTTTCCCATGGTCTGCTACCCTCAATTAGTCTGCCTTTCCTGATTTGGGATGAGATGCCAGTGTCACCCTTGGGCAGTTTCTAATTACACTGGCCATGCTTGAGTAGCTGCCAGCATGGGGTTTGGGGTCCTACTCCACAGACAATCACCAGCTCAATTTCATGCTAGAATGGTGGGCAGTTTTGCTGGTCAGGGCTATGCCACCTGTCTGTGACCACTTTGACTACTCAGAATGGTCCACATGGCAGCTTTCTCCATGTCCCTCTTCCTTACCCAGCCCCTCAGGGCGGGCTCACCTGGGGAGATGCTGACTCAGTGGCTGCCAGACCTTTCCTAAAGCTCTCCTGGGATTCATCGTGGACTCAACAATGTTCACAGATGTGGCTTTGTGCCTGCCACCCCTCCAGCCCTCCTCAATGCCTGATGACTCTGCAGACCTATATATATATAT